ACTCTATTACAGGCACTGGGGAGAGGGGTTCACCACTGGGTATGTACCTCTTCTGGTCTGCATCATTTGTAAAAGCCACGGTGCTGATTCAACATTTTAGCTAAGAGCCATTCTAAATACACACAGGGCCTTATCTAATTTACAACCTCTCTGTCCAGCTGCTAGATGCTTCTGCATATTTCCCCCTAACATTTCTGCAGATGATTAACTCAGATGAGTAAATCTGCTCTCAAAGGCAGACAGGCATGACAAACAGTGTGAAAGCACAGACAACTTCAGTCCAAACACTCATCTCTCACCACAGACGACCAAAGAAGTAGCATTTTCAAGTCAGCTGTTTTCTGCATAATGGACTATTGACAATGATGCTGGGTTAGGTGTGAACTACACATATTAGAAAGCAACTGTCTTTGAAATTATTTCGCTTCAATATACACATTTTTGCAATAAGATGTGACTTCTGACATAGTTATAATGGTAATACAAAGAATCTTACTTAATTTGCTTTGCTATTTTTCCAGTGTCTTCATCAATGGCTTGATACTGTCCAATAACCTGTCTTAGCTGCATTGTCTCACTTGTTTCAATGATTTTTGTACCACCAGGGAATACAGGGCCTTCCCGCACGTCAATCACTTTAATTTTGATTGGAATTGTTTGTGCTTTAAAACTGTGTTTAATTGACTTGTGGAACTCTGCTTTGTTTGTAACAACAATGCCCAAGTTTAGGGTTTGCATTTTTTCATAATCCAGCTCCTAGAGCAATAAAAAAAAAAATAATTAAAAAATCACTCAGAATTTGACAGCATCTAATGCCTGGATAAGATTAATGCACTTAATATTTAAATATTATTTCTTATGAGTGCAAAGAAGAACTGTTGGTTAACATGTTAGTCTCAATAAATAATGCTTCAACTCTTTAAAAAGTACACAAAGAAAATTACTCTTCTTATTTTTAATGGATGACATATGCCTTTGCATTATTGAATTCAAACTAATTTGAATTTGGTGCAGAGTCCTATCCATGTATTCTGTCTTTCAGCGAATCAGTGCTCTGCTACCTGGCTCCTTTATTTCTTTATAAAGCAAATTTATTTACTTAATAATGCTTATAAATTATTACAATTATCAGTTTTCAGATAAGGAAACCAGAGCAGGAAAAAAAAAAAGAAGAAAAAAGGTACTTAAGGAAATGTGCATCTATAGTTCTTGTGGACTAAAGGGGAGTAAAATGAATAAAACACATTTCTCGTTATGGAAAATATTTTCATAATTTCAATTTATCAAAGTTCACAGAATAGTCAGTACCCCACAGCTCACAGAGTATGTGTTGCCTGCAATGTTATCTGTGGCCATGAGAAATAAAGAAATTTAAATGGAGATCAGAAAGGAGAGCAAAAATATAGGAAAGTTTGTAGGTATATCTTAGCACTGTTGCCTGACAAAGAAAGTTTGGGGACTTCTGCCTGACTTGATATATTTGAGATCATACGGATTGTAAATGGTAAAGCTGGACAAAATTGTTAATTGTTGAAGTCATCAGCAAAGAATATGACAAAGGAGCAGTGTCCACCCTGTAAATTTAGTTTACATACTGACTGAATATAAGTGATTTGTTTGCCAACTTAAAGGGAATTAATCATTCTAATATTTACAGCACACTCTCTAAAGAATATACTAACCTTCACAACAGTCAAAATTCCTTCATTTGTTTGTGTATCTGTTACAATACGAAAAAAGCCACCTTCATTTCCAGAAACAAATGAGAAGTTTGCCAGCCAGTTATCAGAAAACTCTTCATCTTTGTCAAATACTTTTATTCGCAGAATTTCCACATTTGCTTGGTTTTCTTCAACGCTTCCTTCAAACTGCAATTGAAAAATACCCTTCCTTAAAAAGATGTCACGACTTACTTTCTTTCACCAGCACAAGAAAGTTTGCACAACTTTGTATTAAACAATGGCATACTGGCAGGTGTAAATTCCAAAATATGGCAATCATTGTGATAAATGTACTTACTGCATGACTTTCAACCACAGGCAGATTGTCATTGACATCCAAAATCTTGATTTCTAAAGAACATGTTGCAGCATTCCCACCTATTTCACCACCACGGTCTTTTGCTTCCACCACCAAAGAATAGCTGCTTTCTGTCTGCCATGATAAGAAACAAACGTTCAAACCAGGATACATTTTTTTCCTTTGCTGTAATCCCTTTATTACATTTTGGTAGTCCCTCTTGTGGCCAATTCTAACTCATTTTCTCCCTAGCTACTAGTAAATCTCATACACAACTACCTTCACAGGCTCTGCTGGAGTAAAGCTGAGGCTTGAGAAGGATTTGGGACTCTGCATCTCCCCCACAAACTGTTAGACTGCACTCACGTGGCAAATAAAAAATATTAAGAGCCATACACAGGGACAGGGGCAGTAATAACCTGCATGTCAGGATTGGGCTAGAGGTACTGCTCTCAGCCCCAGAGCTAACATCCAGATCACCATCTGCTGGCCACTGAAAATTCATGCAAGCACAGGTAAAGTTGCTAGTAATACATGGCTTTCAATGCTGTTTCCCATCAGCACCCATCCTGTTTCCATCATGATTTCCATCGCAGGCTACAAAAACCTAGATTGAGAAGCTTCCTCATGGTGATCTGGGTTGTCTTTGCCATATGCTCTCCAGCACAGAGAAATGACCCCTTGCTGTCCTGGCTGCATGGGAGGGACAGAAAGTGACAGCCATCAGGCTGGTGCTTGTGCAAGAGAGATAAAAGGGGGAATACAACCTTGATCCTGTCACCCCCATCCCAATTCTTGAAAAACATGCATCGGCCAGAGAAGGCTTTAATCCTAAAGGAGGTGAAGGAAGGTAAAAGGCCCAGCTCTCCCACCAGGCAGGTGGAGCTGAAAGTGACACAGAAGGCACCAGGAGACTGCTATTGACACATAAAAAAATGGTGTTGTTTCTTTACCTCTCTGTCAAGATTTATTTTTGCTACTCGAACCTCGCCAGTATTCTTATCCATACTGAATGCAGCACTAGGGCTTTGGGAAATAATCCTGAAAGCAATTTTGGAATTGAGGTTATTTGGTTCATCTGCATCTGTTGCATTTATCTTCATTACAATTGTTCCTAGAAAAAGCAAACAAAATATAGCATGTTTACACTGCCATGCACTGGCAAGTATTTTTGCTGTTATGTCAGAGATAAAGATACTGTTGTTAGATGCACTTGCCTTTATTTATTTATTTAGGAGAGCTGAAGAAGCCTTCCTAAAATCCTAATAGCACATGTTAAAAGTATAACCTCTAACAAACAAAAACACTCTATGAACACATCTCTAACTCAAAGAAGTCAGTGCACCAGAATTACACATCAGGTTGAATTGTCACAACAATTCTGTCAGAAAACTGTAGATACTGTACGGGGAAGAAAGAAGTTTTTGAACAACAAGCTGCATTTCCCAACAGCATCAGTCACAATACACGCTGGATCCCTTTGTGCAATACACTTGTAACTCATGGCACAGGATTTTGGTCCTTGAGGAAAGGGTGTACCTCAGCACTCAGCGCCTGACTTTGAACATTAGCTGGAATTCAGGCAAAGAAGCAATGACCATACAGCTGCTAGTGACTTGAAAGAGAGCTGAGGGACCCCAAAACCTCACCCATGCAGACAGACAATAACTGGTTTCTTCAGATTATTGTCATATTGAAAATGACATAGTGTCAGGTACTTAACTGTTTTACTCCAGCTTTTTGTATCTTCTGGGAAATAACCTGTTGCTCTTATGGTTATTGACATCAGTAGGAAAACTGCCACTAACTTTTCTTTGAGGGTTAGGTCACAGCCATATGTACTTTAACAATGAAGTCCCCTTCTAGCCCATAGATAAAGCAGAGCTCTTCATGAGCATAGGAGTGAAGTCCCTCCCAAATAAACTGGGACTGCTAGGCCAGAAAGTAGAAAAAATTTCCAAAAACCTGCTGAAGGACCCTGGTTGCTGGACTTGCGGTAGCTTTGATACCACACCAAAGATGACATAAGAGGAAGTGGTGTTCTCTGTTGCCTTTATGTGGATACTTCCCCATCATCATATCATGCAGCTTAGCCCTGAATAAAAACTTGCATTCACACACGGATAATCTGGCCTACACAAGCAAGAAAATGTTATTGCAGATATGCTGCTGCAAAGGATGTATTCCCGTGTGCCTTTGCATGTGTGGGGAAAAGCTAAATGAAAAAAAAAAAGAAAAAAAAAGATAGTTATACCTGTTTCACTTAATTCTTCAATTGAACCAACAAAAACTTCATGTGAAAATACTGGAAAATTGTCATTAATATCCACGACTTTAATCGGTAGGTCTATTGGCTCTTCCAGTTTTGCTCCATTCTTATCTAGGGCATGACCTCTGAGCTGGAATAATACAGATAGAAATAATAAGCAAAATACTGTAATATATAAAAATACATATGCTAAACAGAAATGCATATATAAAAATACATATAACAACATGTAAGCATTTTAGAAGCATAAATAATATGCTTATAAATATGAGCATACATAGACATATAAATAATGAGAAATTGGATTAAACTAATTGAAACAATCACATTTGAAAAAAAGAATAATAGATTGAGTGAAGGACACCTATAAGGAGAAAGTTACTGTTCAGCTTACAAGCAGCATTGGCGTCTTTTCTCTGTCAACCCTTCCTGTTATGTTCAGGTCTCCAGTCTTTCCATTGATAACAAATAATCCGTAAGGGGGTTCTGTTACTCCTTGACCAGATATAGTATAAGTCACCACTACCCCTGTATCTTCAAGATCAGAATGTATCTAGCAAGAATAAAACAGATCAAATAGTGTTTGGTAAATAAAACAACATTTAAAAATGCAAATTAAGTATTTTTGCTATTTTTATCATGAACAAACAAAAATTAATATTCAACACATTTTCATGCACTCTTTTGAGCGTAAGAGATATTGAAACACATGTAGGAAGATTCAGTTCTGTCTGGGGATCTTGTGCAGGGAGATGAGGAACATGATGGGCAGCCCAACAGCTGGAAACCATGGATTGGAGAGCTGTGTAGGAGAAGAAAACTGGGACTGCTTGGGCAAAGAGAGTGAGATAGAACAGAAGTGCAAGGGAAGGCTAGAAAACCACCATGATAAGATAAGAAACTGGAACGAGGGAAGAAGGAAACTGGCTGATCAAATGGTTGGGGGCAAATAAAACGTGGAGAAATATTACGGAAAAAACAAACAAGCAAACAAAAAAACCCAAAAAAACCAAAACAAAACAGAGCCTGGAACAGTACGATGAGCAGAGAAGACTGAAGTTATCTGAGCAAAGCCTGGGAAAAAAAATGACTTTTTAAAGGAGATTAAACCCAAACTAGCAACTGGGACCAGGACTGAGGAAGTGATAGGCTGGAGGAAGAAAGGTCACGCCTGGAGAGGAACAGGTAGAAGGGGCTGCACAGACTAGAGGTTATACCCTTCCTCTGCTGTCAGCAAGTATCTGAAACATCTGGGAAAAAACGTGTGCATTGTGCCAGCATCACCATCAAGGGGCAGCCCAAGCAGAGGGTAACACCCTGCTACCATCTGCGGTTTCAACAGTGGTTCTGAACGAAATAGACAACACTCTTGCACAAAGGATAACACCCTGGGGTTTTTTTAGCTCTGTTTCCTGAAAAATTAGGCATGCATAATCATGCTCCATGTAGACCCTTTTGCCCAGTCACCACCAGCAGTTTTGGGGCCCACTTGCCAAGTTCAACCACAGCTGAGTAGGGGTAGTGTAATAAAAACCTCAAAGATACTGCATTCCTGAGAGTTTTATGAACATTGGTGACTGGGAAATGAAAAGACTGAGCCAAAACAGGTCGCAAGAGCAACTCATCTGCTGAAGGAAGGAAACAGCAAGAAATTCAATAAATATTTGTGCATGTATTTAGGGCAGCCACACTGCTATTTTACATTTTAATCTCTGCTTTTATGAGTATTCTGTATTTATCTCTTTTCTGGGCTTACTCTAGCAATTGGATTCTTATAGGAATTGTCCTCCTCTTCCCGTATGAAAGCTGGAGGGACTGTCCATTCTCGTTTTTGCCTGACTAGGCTGTTGGGGTGAGACAACACACCGCTTCTGCCGTTTCGATTATAAACCTGTGAAAAAACAAGGTTCAATGTCAGCATTACATTTAGCCATTTCAGACAAATGCTTTATTGCTGCTGTAGCTCAAGACTTCTGAATGGCTTTTATTATTTCAATATCTAGTAACTTTGAAAACATAGAGCAACACTAGCTTTCCACACCACAATCTAAGAGCTGTCTGTTTCTCAAGTTATTTGAAGGGGAAAACTACACTAGTCTTTTCACCAAGACTGAATTAGGTATGACAGGTTTTAAATACATGAGCAAGTTCCCATGACCAGGCGTTAGTGAGAATAAACCTGTTCTGGAAAATTTAAGTGCTTGTCATCAGATGTAGGAAGAGGTTTGGCATTAAGGCTGTTTAAACAACCATTTCTGCCTTATTACCCTCCTAACCATCCCACAAATAGTGCCCTGTATTCAAACTCTACTCAACCCATCCATTGCTTCTGTTATCTTTACTCAACTACCCCTCATTCTCAATCTGCATGACACCCTCTGTCCTGTCCAACTTAGCTCCTACTGTGTCTCTTGGCTTCCAGATCAAAAACTGGAAATATTTCCACAACTAACGTCCTCCATAAAATAATAGTTTATTTAATTTAGAGAGAGTTAAAAAAAGGTATTTACAAATGTAATATTTTAGGGGATGTTTCTCAAAGTTGAAGACCACATAGTTCAATGGATGCAGGAATCTATTCACTTACATCTTGGCTTTCATTTCATTACATTTCATTTCATTTCGTTTCAGCTTTTAATTTAGAAAGGTTGGACCAGATGATCCTTGAGGTCCCTTCTAACCTGGCATTCTATGATTTCATTATTCATTACACAGCTTCCATGTTTCAGAAAATGGTAAATATCAAGATATTTATCAACTCAAGCAAGACATGCCTTTGACACTTGCTTTTTGCTCAGAGAACCCTTTTTCAGACATAAGCAAAGCAGTTTTCCTTTATTTCCTACCTTCACATAGAGTCCACTTCCGTAATTCAAACAGATCTGCAATGAAAGTTATAATAATCAATTCTATGTCACTTCAGCAGTAGTAAAACTCAACGGATGTAACCAACCTCATAAGAACATCAAAACCTTAAGGAAAAGGGCATCTGACCCCCAAAAATAAATATATAACCATAATAGCTTCTGAAAAATTTACCCATAACCATTCACATTAAAAACATATAATTATAGAATTGTTAAATTTCTCACTTTTCTCCCAGCAGTAAAGAGATAATAAGCAATCATTATTTCTTTATTTATTTATTATTTTAAGAAATAAATGCAGATCTAATATTAATTTTTAAACATCCATTTCTTAGTTCTGAATACTGCCTCAGCATTCCAAAAGGATGGGAAATTTATTGAAGTGCCAGCCGCACCCTGGAGAAGCTCCCTTTCCTGGGCAAATCGTGGATTCTACAGGCTGTGGTGGGTCACCAGCCACATAAGAGGACACCACAGATTAGATAAAGTGACAGGAGCAGCTCTCTACTTAGCACCTTGCTGGTAGGAGAAATGGCACACTACACCCCTTACTTAAACAAGGCAGAGACATGTTCATGCTAGCGAGGAAATCATGCTTGCTCTGTCAAAACCTGGTCCATCAACATCCACCCCTGGGACTGCCCATCTCTTCATGCACCAGGACAGCTACGCAAGCCCTTAAACACGATGCTAGATGGAAGGAACTGGAGCCATCAGCCAAATTACCAGAGACCCTGTCTTTAAGTCCATTCTCCACGCAGCAAAGACTCCACAAGTTACAAACCCCCTTAAACAAACAGTGCAAAAATGAAGGTATCAGGAAATAACAACAAGCAAAAAGTAGGTTATTACAACAAGAAAAATCAACACAAAGAGCTTCTGAGCTTTGTATAGAATTATTTTATTGTTCTCAGAACTATTACATCTACCTAAATTTTGCATCTTAGGTGATTTTTATTTTTTTAATATTAATGCCAAAGGCAAAGCAGGCATGGAAAAAATTATTTCCTACTGAAATAAGTCAGGGAGTATTTAGTTATATTCTCTTTGGCCAGTTTCTAGACTGTTAATCTGGCTCTCCCTGTTCACCCCTCTGACTCATCCTTGATTTCTGTACTGATGACAGCACTTTTGGAAAAAAAAATAAATAAAATCTTATCTCTTTCCCACACAATGCAAAAATACAGTGGACTATGTTGAGCAACCTAGCAGACCATTGTTTCAACTTGCAGAACAAAACTGTTTTATGAATGGCAGTTTTCCCAATGTATACATTCTGAAGACAAAAATCACCAAGCACTGAGTTCCTCAACAGATACGTATTGTGATTGGACTCGATCTTAAAGGTCTTTTCCCATGAGAACAATTCTGTGATCTTACGCCTTAGACCAAGTCGTTTTAATGAATATTCTGAATCTTATTTGCTTTTATTAGTTATATGGATTTCCAAAATTTATTTTCATGATTAATGAGATTGTACTAGCAGAAGTAAGAGGAGAATTCTTGTTTATAGTCAAGGTTTTCCAATTGAAGCTGCAACTCTTTTGGAATGTGAATAGCTGTCAAGATGTCAACGTGAACATCCTTATTTGTTCTTACTGGTAAACTGAAGGCAAAAGTGTTTCTGAACCACAGTATAAAGAAAAATGTCTGAAGTCCAGGAATAAGCAAGTCTTCCACTGAGATGCATATGAAGAAAGCAGAGAAAATCCCATTAATCATTTTAAACAGAAAGTCCTTCATTAAGATAACTGAAAGCAAAAATCAGTTTGTTTGCTTAGTAGCAAAGTAGCCTCAAAACATTCTGTTTTATTGCTATGACAGTAAAAAAACCTTTTGGTCTTGTACTTTTCAGTCTGTAGTCCATAGGTAACCACATAAGGGACTTCTAAGATATCTACAAAAGGTGTTTAAGAATTACAATTTTATTTATGAGATGCAGAAATACATGTGGAAAATATATAAAGGGATATTGCATTTTTATTGAAAATGTGTTAAGGTTAAAAAAAAATTAAAAAGGGGAAAGAACTTTTCAATGACATTTTTTTCAAGGAAAAAGGAAAAGTCACATATCTAACAGGTCCTGAATGATGATATTCTTTTTTCCTTTTTTTAAATCCTAGGGCCTTCTATTAAATGGGTTAGTAAGATCATGAAAGACCTGAAAGTCATTTGATGTGGATCACAGTCTTGGCACAAAAACCAGACATCTATTGATCACATCTCTTGATGACACATTGCTAAAAAAGCATTGTCAGCAGAAAACTGGATGATGGTTCCAGAAAAAAAAAAAAAAAAAAAAAAGGTGGAAAACCTCAGGTCTGAAGTAATAGAAATGGAATGAAATACCACAGGAAAGCATCAGGATTAGGCAAGAGGGGAGGGTAAAGAAAGGAGTGACTGCTGTGCATAGAGAGTGCAAGGCTGCTCTTGTCCAAATTCATGTTCAAGTATAGTCAAGAGGTGACTAAAAGGCACATTTTGAACACACAGCTCAGTTTCATGCTGCAAAGATGCAGACTGAGTAGGCAAGAGGGTATGTGTCAGTATTTGCTACACCATGAAGCAGTAAGTCCTAGAAATGTGGTCTTCCATGTAGGCTTCGTGTCAGGAGATCTGGATCTTGCACCTTCCGTGAGTCAGTTTGGTGTTGAAGACCATGGGCAACTGGAGATCTTCCACACTCAGAGAAGCAGGCTGAAGACACCATCCAAGATTATCTACTAGTCCATCTCCCAGCCCCAGGGCGAGATGAACTACACTAAGCACTTCCTGACAACTGTTTAAACTGTTCTTAAAAATGGGTGATGGAGGTCCCACAGCCTCCCTAGCTAACCTAAGGAGGTGCCTAGCTAGCCTTACAGATGAAAACGTTTTTGTTAATTTTAATCCTAATTTTATTATCCTAATTTTCAGCTCTTCGCAAGTTGATCATATTGCTGTTTGGATGAGATGCAGTTTCAGATTAAGACACACAAATCTACATGTCTAAATGAAGGCTAAATGCCTAAGCTTCTGTTACACTCAACAGACATACAGCCAACACAGACAAAGGCATTAGAGAGCAATTCAATTTGCCCCAAAGACAGCCCACATCACCGATTTCTCTCTTGGATTCCACTGACTGAAGCTATGCCTGCTTTGTAAGCCCAATACGGGAGGATTTGTAGAGCAAAGCAGTTGCTGCTGAGAACCTAACATGACACAACCCATGTTTTGTGGTTGTAACTTCATACTAGAATTAGCCTGGTCCCATAGACCAAACGCCCAAGAGCACACGGATGCATCTGCCAAAGCAGTTTCACCCCAGAGAGATCAGATTCACATACTCCGCAGATCTGCTTTGAAAGCACAATTTGATCCAAACCAACAGGTGTGCTCTGCATCCACTGCATCCCCATTTACCATAGCAGAAACTCAAACACCTATATTGAGATGTCTTAATCTCAAACTGAATCTTCCTCTTTGCCACATTGATAACACTCCAACGGAACAGTGTCATTCCCTTTTCTTCACAATTACCTTTCATATATCTCAAAACCTACAATGCATCTTACCTACTTTCTTTTCTCAGTTCATAGATTTCCTGAACTTTGATTGCATTTTTTGGTTTTCTCTGCTTTCTCCTGGGCAGATTAACTTTATTCTGAAGTCTGGAGTCCAAAATAATACCACTTTGGTTCAACACGATCTTATGTATTTCTCACCTGCTTTCATATCTCACCCTAGTGCTAGTTTCCCCCTGCCTTTTTGGAACAGTACTAAGTCATTGAATCAAAGCACAGATGATTGACAAAACTGTTACCATGTTTCAGCATGTTACTGGTGATACAAGCCAGGCTGCTTTGAATTACCTCACCTTTGTTCTTTCTAAAACTAAGCATCATGTTAGTTGTGTTTTTTTTTAATATTTATTTATTTTTTTATTTAACTTGTTTATCAATTTTGTAAAACAACTGATACTGGCTCTGACATTACAATAGCGACCTAACGTATTCTGGACTGATTTGATCACACCCAGCCTAACATCCTAAACATCAAGGAACTACAATCTGACAAGACAGTCAGAGAAAAAATAATCGTTACTACTTGCCTAGTAAGACTCGTACACCTGTCAACTCTTCTTCCACTCAAAGGCAGGAAGATGTCAATGTCCATCCCGTTGAGAAATGACCTAAGAAAATCCCAGTCTCATAAACCTCGATAGCCGTGCCCGCCCGGCAGGCACACGGCTCTGGCTGTGTGCCCGGGATACCTGCCAAGCTGAGCCCAGCCCTAAGGGTACACTCCTGTCTGGTGTACCCGGACATCCCTGGAAAAGGCCTGGAGGCAGGGACCCAGGGAAAGCTGCTGTGACCTTTGTGATGTACCCAGGGCTGAAGATAAGAGGGATGCAGCCTATGGGCAGGAAGGGAGCACAGACAACCAAGAAATACCTTCAGAAAAAACAGAGGAGTAATTTATAGTTCTCGATGATTCTAAGATAGAAAATGCTTTGCGAAGACACTACTTTCAGACTGATTTTGTTTTTCAGTAGTTTCTAAAGGTTTTGAAGTTATCAATGCCATCTTTGCAGGCCAGAAGATCCAAATGACCCTAATCTGATGTTCTCAAACAAGCCACTAGACTTTCTGCCACTTGAATGCCTTTGTCCAGGTTAGGGAAAAACAAAACAAAACAACCCAAAAAAACTAACCAAACAAGAAATGCAGCAGTGTCTCTCTCTCCTGACACCAACCAACTAAGGCAGCTTTATTTGCTCCAGTATTCTACCAGATATGCACCAAACTAAGTTCACTCACAGTGCATTACACGCTGTCCCAGCTTGAGCTGAGGCTGCGGATGATGAGGATTGAGAAAAAAATTTTCCTCTTTTCTTCAGGCAAACCCAACATCATCCTGAGCCAGTGCAAGCTCACCAGGATGCTGTGGCTTCGGGTGTTACAGAAAGAATAGTTCAAAACTTTTGTACAAGTTTCTGCATGTTTCCCACTGCTCTTTCGAGCAAAACAAGGATAAACCATTTCCCAACCAAACTGTAACTCCCAGCTGGGTGCAAAGAACCGGGCTAACTGTTGCTGGCTGACTTGTGGCCAGCCACAACTCTACACTGAAGTTATGAGGCAACAGCTCTCCAGCTAGCAAACCTGATTTTGCTGGAACTTGTGCTCGGAGAGCAAGGTCCCAAGCTGCAGCACCCGCCTGTGTGACCAACAAACCGTTGCTGAGCCCTTCCCTGCTCCTTGGCAGCTCCTGGCACAGCCCAAGGCCCGGTCTCCACCCGCGCCTTTGTCTGAAGGGTGGTGACCTGACTCCTGCAGGCACCTGGCCAGCCTGGGAAGGGGAACAGCTGAAGAACAATGCAGCAGCTATACAGGAGAGCTCCCTGTAAAAACGTCTAGAAAGCATCGGTCGAAATTAAACAAACCAGATTTTTGGTCTCAGGATCTTATGAAACGCTTAACAGCCTAAAAAGGTGTCTCACAGAATGGAAGGTCTTGGGGCTGATGACTCAGTCAGGGCAGGGCAGGCGGAAGCCTGAAGTCACTTGGGTTGTTAAGGACCCGGTATCACTTACCTAAGGCAATAAAGACTTGCACTAAATCATACTTTTATGATCTATTTTTCCCACCTGGCACTTCTGCTTCAAAAAAACCTAATGCAATTTATTAGTACAGATAGTACGCGGGACATTGAGCACTCCTGTCTGCCTTCCTCTTCCTCCTGGCATCCTAACGAGCCCCACCCAGCCGAGATACCGTTCTTGGCGAGCTCTTCTACCCTCACCTGCTTTCGGGCCGCCAAGGGCGATCGATTTTACGTGCGTTCCAAAGAACGGGAGACACGCCGTTCCCAGCCACGAG